CCACTGTCACTCCCAAGTTTCTCTCCTTGTTGCTAGTGTCAGTTCTTTCCCCACTCAACCTGTAGGTGTGCCTGGGATTGCCATGGCCCAGATGTAGGACCTTGCACTTCATTTTGTTAACCTTCATGAGTTTTGCATTGTTCCACCTCTCAAGCCTATCAAGGTCCCTCTGGATGGCACATCCCTTCCCTCCAGCTGTGACTGCCCCACACAGTTTGGTGTCTCACAGGGTTTAAATGCTGTTTGTAAAGCTTGGTGAAATCTTCTGGCACTGTGCACAGGGAGACATTACTTTAAGTCTCTGTATCCCAAGAACACAGCTCAGTTGAGTTATACTTGCCAGTCCTTGTCTCAGGCCGTGATATTGTTCCAGGTTTACTTGACTTGGCCTGTGCCCAACTGTGCTGAGGGATGTCCTGGCTCCTGGATTAAAGATGGTTACTGTGACAAAGCCTGCAATAACTCGGCGTGTGATTGGGATGGAGGCGATTGCATTGGTAAGACACAATACTACCTTGAGGAAAAGTGAACTCTTTTGGTTTTCCTTATAAGAATAATTCTGTCATTTGGCTTTTTCATATAACTACAATATTTGCTACCTTTAATAATCATGAAAAAACTTTGAATTACAGATGAAAACCTTATTTCTTGCAAGCTACAAATTTCTACAGAAAATGATGGCAAATAGTTGGGCATAGGAAATTATTTCTTTGGGTACCAGATTTGACTGACTGTAAAGAAGGATTTTGAAATTCAAATTTCAATATATATTATTTGGACTCAGAATCCAAATAGAAATGGATTATGAATCTGCAGCATTAGTTCCTAGATGAAATTTTTGGACTGCAGGGTAGGAAAAGGAAGTGGTACTTCTGAAATGAGGAAGTGACACTGCCCTGAGGGCTGTAAAGTCAAGACTGCCAGCACAAGAAGCAGTAAATCAGTGTTCTGTCTGCCTTTCTGAAGCTAAGACAAAATCTGTTGGGCTTTTTGTTGCCCTTTCCAGTTGATATCTCAACTTCTACACTGCGATTGTGCACACTATAACTCACAGAGGTCTAGTTACAATTTGCCTCTTTTTAATTTCACTAACGATGATTGAGTCCTCAGTCTGATGTTAACACTGTGGCTTAAAATGTGCTTTTCTTCAAACATTTAAAGTTCTTCTGGTGGTTTTGTTCTCTGTTTGCTGTAGGTAACAGCGGGGGTAGTCGCTATGTCGCTGGAGGAGGTGCAGTCGGAGGGATTGGCAATGGACCCCCGTGGCAGTTTGGTGCAGGAATAAGTGGTGTGTCATACTGTAACCAGGGCTGTGCTAACTCCTGGCTCGCAGACAAGTTCTGTGATCAGGCCTGCAATGTCCTCTCCTGTGGATTCGATGCTGGTGACTGTGGCCAGGGTATGTGAAATGACCTTTCTATAGGGATCCTGTGGAATTGCCTGACCTTTTTTGGTTCGTCATTACTCTCAGATTGGGCTAAGGTGTCCTGGACAATGCTGTGGAAAAGAACTGGTAGCAGCTAAAGAAAAAATCAGATAGTTCTTGTACTCACTAATCCAAACCTGTACTGCATTAGTTAATAAACCTGATAGTGACCAAGCATGGGTGGGGACTGATACCTTGCAGAGCAGCAAGCATCACACTCCTTGCTCCATGAGGTTTACACTTTCAGTGGAGAAATCACGTCAGTTATGCAAAGTATCTTTACCTGAATAAGGACAGTTGGTTTGATGTAGCAGGGTAAAACATTCAAGAACCTCTTGATGCTGACAGTATGAGTTCAAGTCTGGCTCTGGGCTCTTGCCAAAGGTTACTTTCAGTCACCTGTGAACCTGTCTGAAGTCTTTTTGAATATGAAAGCCTAGCAGGAGTGAAGGAAGTGGTTGAAAGTTCTGTCTGGTACAGGCAGGGGAAGAGTTTAGCCTGTTTGGAAGAGTAGAGGCTCCTCTGTATCTCAGCTCAGACAAATGTGTTACTGGCAATTCTGTTGCTGGCAGAGAAGTTCTGTTCATGTGACAGTTGACAGATAGTCTGTGTTCTGCTATGGAAGGGAGAAATTCCAGTCAGCCTGTCTGATTTTGGAAGTTTTAAGTCAAGATGCAGTGCAGCAGTGAAATGCAGCCATTGGAACATTCATCTCCTAAAACATGGCAAAAATGGGCAACCTGCTTATGACTGACAGATCATTGTAAGTGGCATGAGATAACAAGCCACTAGGACTCTTCAGATGGAGACTGAAGGAGTGGTGAATTATACTGGGTTTCAGAATTAGCATGTCTGGCAGCTTTATACATCTGAGTATGTTTTAGTCACCCATTGTTGAAGATAAGTGAGCAAGAAACTGGAAGCTGGAGTAAGTGTTCTCCCACAAAGCTGTGTCCCTGCCAATGCAGTGAACCTGGCTGGGCCCACTGCAGCTTCAGAAACAGTGACAAATAAACGTCATACTGCAAATTGACAGAAATTTGTTTTGTCTTGCGATTTTTTTCCAGATCACTTTGAAGAGATGTACAAGGTGACACTTCAGCTTAATCAGACCTACTATGTTGTTCCCAAAGGTGAATGTCTGCCTTACTTCAGCTTCAGCGAGATAGCCAAGAAAGGAATCGAGGGTTCCTATAGTGATAATCCAATCATCAGACATGCTTCCGTGGCGAACAAGTGGAAGACTATCCACCTCATAATGCACAGTGGCATGAACTCAACTGTCATCTATTTTAACCTCACATTTCTGAGTAAGAATGATGAAGAGTTTAAAATGCAAGTAGCTGTTGAGGTGGACACTAGAGAGGAACCAAAACTGAACACAACTTCCATACAAAAATCCAACTCTGATTTTAAAAGTGTAACTTCAGTACCAGAAGCTGAAATGATATTTGAGGATATTCCTGAAGAAAAACGCTTTCCAAGAGTCAGGAGACGTAAAAATGGCACAAAAGAGAGTCTGCATGAAGAGGTGATAATACCATCAGTAAACGTGTCTCTTCTCCCTGAAGATGTTCAGCTAGCACTGCAGAACCTGGACTTAAAGCTACTAGATGGTGATATTACTCAGAAAGGATTTAATCTATCCAAGGCTGCTCTCCTGAGACCTTTCCAGTTCTTAACTACAGTTAAGAGCATTATAGGCCTGGAAAAGAAGGGTATACATAATCATTCAGAAGAGCAGAAGAACCATACCAGCTGGCAGAAGCCTTACAAAGATGTAAAAGATGGCAAAACCAAACTAGTAAAAACAGCTGAAGAAGTTCTTTCAAGGCTGACAGGAACAAAGGGACCTGTTGTGACCACAAACATAAATAAACCTCATTATAGAGTAAAGCCTAAAGCCACGCTTCCCTCCCAGGGCATGCGAAACAACACTGAAACTCAAGAGAAAGTGTTGAATACACTTGTGTTGAGGGAAACACAGAAATCCAAAAATGCTGGGAATTCAGACACTGGAGGAGATGCAGAGGGGATGGAAGGAAGAAAAGGGCAGGAGCAGGTGGATACAAGTGTAAGGGAGGGGCTAGTGGGAAGAAAATTGCAGTCTTATGCTGGAAGTTACCAAGGCTTTTTGCCATGGGAGAAAAAGAAGTATTTCCAAGACCTTCTTGATGTAAGTATCTTCATGTCGTTGCCTATTGAGTCGTTGCATCTTTCTGTGTTCAGTGGAATACTCCTAATGCGATCTACACATTTGGAATGTGTTTGGCCTTTGAGGCAAATGCTGAGATTTTTTGAAGGCTCCTTTTGACTCCCCAACCTGTTGATGACCTGGGCCTCTCTCAGCTAGGTGGTAAATCCTGAATAGCCATTTCTGTGGCCTTTCTACTGCCTTTGGTTTTGGCCAAATCCACTGTTTAGTCGTTCTGTGTTGGCACAGTGCTGTTGTTGACATATATACAACACTAGGACAGAAAGCTTAAATTTTATTTTGACTGCATCTATGCAAATCTAGATCTGAGTCTTTCTTAAATGTAGAAAATATGTGTTATGATAAATACTTAGGTTCTAAAAGTTACATCGAAAGTATGCCAATATCCAGACCGTGTCAAAAAATGTGTGAGAAGATTGCTCTGCTTCCAGCCAAAGCATTTTGACAGTTTTGCAAAGCTCCAGAAGATCCAGACTGTGCTTCACTTCATAGCAACTGCTTTGCCCTGTTCCAAAATAGCAAAGGGGCTGTGTTTTTAACAGACTATTTCTTTCTGTTCATCTGAGACTGAATTTTGCATTAGGAATCTCTACACTCATGAGATTTCAGTTTCTCAGATAAAGATGAAATAAGGATCAAATAAGAAAAAAAAAGGCAAATTATTACAAATAAATCTGATGACAGACAGGGACTTCAGTGTGAGGTATCAGAGCACAAAATTAAGAAAAGATTTTATAGACCTTTTCTCTTTTTTTAAAGAGCAGTCTAAGGCATATGAAGAAAAATATTCACAACTTCTCTTCCCATTTTCAGATAATGGAAAGACCTGGCTGAAATGTGATTTTTCCTGTGTGTTTGTTTTCTGCCTCTGTCAGTAACAGAACCTTGACTTTTCCCTCTCCCCTGGTTTAGGAAGAAGAGTCACTGCTCAAACAAATGTCCTACTTCACTGAGGGTAAACACGTTGGAAGGCAGCTGAAAGATACATTTGCTGATTCCCTTCGATATGTAAATAAGCTTTTGAACAGCAAATTCGGATTTACATCTCGGAAAGTCCCTGCTCACATGCCTCACATGATTGACCGAACTGTTATGCAAGAGCTGCAGGATATGTGAGTTGTGTTTCTGTTTGGATAATGGAAAACTCTAGGTGATTCTGCCTTCCCGTTGATAGAATCATAGAAGCAACCAGGTTGGAAAAGACCTCCAAGATTGAGTCCAACCCTACCGTGGTTACTAGACCATGGCACTAAGTGCCACATCCAGTCTCATCTTGAAAACCTCCAGGGATGGTGAATCTACCACCTCCCTGGGCAGCCCATTCCAATGCCTGATCACTCTCTCTGTAAGAAACTCTCTTCCTAATATCCCACCTAAACCTCTCCTGGCAGAGCTTGAGTCTGTGCCCTCTTGTCCTCCTGCTGGTTGCCTGGGAGAAGATGCTTTGCTGTAGCAATTTCCAATGTGTTAATGGTTAAAAGTCTGAAAAAGCAAATCGGAAATTTATCATAATGTCATAGCTGTGCTAAAATCAGGAGACTTTTGAAGACCTTTTAACATTCTAGGTGAGAATTTGTTTTTAGGTGAAGAATGTTTGACTTGACTAAACCAAAGGACTAAATGACTTTTTGTTCTTATTGAGGTTTCCGGAGGAGTTTGACAAGACATCGTTTCACAAAGTGCGGCACTCGGAAGATATGCAGTTTGCTTTCTCCTATTTCTACTATCTCATGAGTGCAGTGCAGCCACTGAATGTTTCTCAGATCTTTGATGAGGTGGATACAGACCAGTCAGGCATCTTGTCTGACCGAGAGATTCGCACGTTGGCCACACGAATCCATGAACTGCCACTAAGTTTGCAGGTACTCCTTCCTTACCAGTAACTTCTAGAATGACTTCAGGTTTAAGGTCTAAAGTGGTTAAAATAAAACAAATCAAATCTTTCTTTATCCTTGCTTATAGCACCTGTATCATTTGGTAAGTTTTAACTATTACCTGGAGAATGATAGAATGATAGAATTTTAGGGGTTGGAATTGATCTTAGAGATCATCCAGCCCCAACCCCTTGCCCTGAGCAGGGACACCTCCCACCAGAGCAGATTGCTCAAGGCAAGGCTCAACCTGGCTTTGAACACTGCCAGGGTTGAGGCATGAATATAACATTATGTTCTACTTGATCATTGTTCTGTGGAGTCTAGGGTGAAATTGAGTTCTAGCAGCATCAGAAAAAAAGGATCCCTGGTGGCTGAGTCCAAGAAAACAGTGTGAGTTGGTTGGAACAAATGTTCACTGTGAAGCAACTGTGGAAAGTGGGATTCAACCTGGCTTTGAACACTGCCAGGGTTGAGGCATGAATATAACATTATGTTCTACTTGATCATTGTTCTGTGGAGTCTAGGGTGAAATTGAGTTCTAGCAGCATCAGAAAAAAAGGATCCCTGGTGGCTGAGTCCAAGAAAACAGTGTGAGTTGGTTGGAACAAATGTTCACTGTGAAGCAACTGTGGAAAGTGGGATCCTGCTGTGCTTCTCTAGTGCCTTGACACAGTAAAAGACAATTCTGCCCTGAGGAATTTGTGGCATAAAGAAGGAATTGAGAGGAAAAGGTAGCAAGAAGTCATACGAGTAAATTGTATGACCAAAGACTCATGGTTCTGTTTTTCTAGGAACCTGATAAACAGACGCTGCCTTTGTAGGACTTACACTCCTAGAGACACTTGGTAGAGTACAGAGTGTACTGTTTGTGCTTCACGGAGAGGAATCCAGTGAAGAGGATTTCCTTAGGCACAAACCAATGAAATAATTTGTTCTTGACTGTGCTGGTTTGGGCTGAGGTAGAGTTAACTTTCTTCACAGTGGCTAGTGTGGGGCTGTGTTTGGGATTTGTGCTGAACACAGGGTTGATAACAGAGAGGTGTTTTTATTGTTGCGGAGCAGAGGTCACACAGAGCCAAGGCTTTTGCTGCTTTCCATACTGCCACACTGGCAAGGAAGTTGGGGGTGCATGGGAGACTGGGAGGAGACACAGCTGGGACAGGTGACCCAAACTGACCAAAGGGATATTCCGTACCATATGACATCATGCTCAGTATATAAAGTTGGGGAAGAAGGAGGAAAGGGGAGATATTTGGAGTGATGGTGTTTGTCTTCCCGAGTCACCATTACATGTGATGGTCCCTGCTCTCCTGGAGGTGCTGAACACCTCCTGCCTGTGGGAATCAGTGGATTAATTCCTTGTTTTGCTTTGCTTGTGTGTGCAGCTTTTGCTTTCCCTATTGAACTGTCTTTGTCTCAACCCATGAGTTTTTCTAGCTTTTTACCCTCTGATCTCTCCTCATCCCACTGGTGGGGAGTGAGTGAGTGGCTGTGGGACTTGGCTGCTGCTTGGGGTTAAACCATGACATTGACACAGTGCACAGATGATTGGCACAACTGGAACACAGCCTTGCTCCAGGATTGCCTGGCCTGGACCTTCATCAGATCATCTTCCTGTCCTTTCTGTTGGTTTTCTTAAGTTGGGATTTAATATGCCAGTGTTGGTTTGGGAGTTCTGTCCTGTCTTGATGTTGTCAGTTAAGGTGTTTTTTTCTTTTCAAATGAAAACAGCATTAATTGATGCTTTATTTGGTCTCAGTTCAGCTATGCACTGACCATTTGCTTCACTTCAGATGTACAGGGAGTCCCACTGACCTAGGTGTTGAAATGAGATCTGCTGAATATTAAGTTTTCTTTTTCTGACAGTAGCATGGAAAGTTGTTGCATAGGTAACACTAAATATGTCTGTGCACCGTGGATTTTTAGAACTGTGGCAGTAAGAAAACAGGATTATATACCTTTTTGTTTTCCTTCTCTTTCTATTAGGATTTGACGGGTCTAGAACAAATGCTGATAAACTGCTCTAAAGCTCTTCCTGCCAACATCACTCAGATCCATGTTATTCCTCCAACTCAGGAAGCATATTATGATCCAAATCTGGTAAGAAACATTGGTCTTAAGAGAAGCTTGTTTCCTTTCCTGAGTATGTATTCCCTTTTACTCCATCTTTTTTGGAGATGGAGTAAAATATTACCAATCTGAGCAGTGATGCCTCATGTACTAATGCTATCAGTCAGGTCAGACAGTGGCAGAACAGGCTTCTGTGCTGCAAACAAACACAACTTGTTTTTAGTGCTGCTGTCTGCAACAGCTAAATTTCTTGGAATGAGCCTACTGCCACAGAAGTATCCCTTGAGAACAGGGATTTTATTTTCCAGAAGTGTTTCAGCATGTGTACCAGCTGTGTGCAGAGCTCTCCTGGCCAGTGTTGCTGTGGCCTTTGTCAGAGGAATGTCAGACAGCTGTCAAACAAGTGAGCATTTCAGAATACTTAATGAAGCTTTATGAAATCTAGAAGTTGCAATGTTTCTGCCAAAAAAAACCCCTGTATTATATAATTTTTATGCCTAGGAAATTGTGATGTCATGCACCAGCACTGGTTAGGTTTGTTTTTTTTCTTCAACAGTTGATGAAGAAACTATTGGAGAGTGAAGCATCTGCAGGCCTTGCTAGCTGTAACAGAAGTTTTCTATGAAGTGCATCTTTCTAACAGTCTATAAATTTCAGTAACCTATAATCCACACAATGTTTTCTTTCAGCCTCCAGTAACCAAAAGCCTAGTGACTAACTGCAAACCAGTGACCGACAGAATTCGTAAGGCATACAAGGACAAGAACAAATACAGGTATGTTGTTACAGCCTTGGCAAAAGCCATGCTAGATTCTGCATAGCCATAAGGAGAGGCATTAAATACATGTATAACCAAAGAGTGTATGTCTATGAAGACAGGCTGAGGGAGTTGAGGCTGTTCAGCCTGGAGAAGAGAAGACTGCATGGAGACCTCACAGCAACTTTTCAATATCTGAAGGGCCTACAAGGGAGCCAGAGAGGGACTCTTTGTTAGGAACTGCAGTGGTAGGACAAGGGGTAAGGGATTCAAATTGAAGGCGGGAAGGTCTAGGTTGCATGTGAGAAAAAACGTTTTTATTGTGAGGGTGGTGAGACACTGGCACAGGTTGCCCAGGGACATGGTGGCTGCCCCAACCCTGGCAGTGTTCAAGGCCAGGCTGGATGAGCCTTGAGCAACCTGATCTAGTGATGAGGTGTCTCTGCCCAGCGCAGGGGTGTGGGACTAGATGGTCTGTAAGTTCCATTCCAAGGTTGGCCAGTCAGATCAGAAAAGTTACTGAGTAACAGTAAATGCAAGATTAATGTTGATTAAACCTGACTTTGGGTTGTTTTATTGATGTGTAAATCTTGTTTTAACAACTAGGTTTGAAATCATGGGAGAAGAGGAAATTGCCTTCAAGATGATTCGCACAAACGTCTCTCACGTTGTAGGTCAGCTGGATGACATCCGCAAAAACCCCAGGTACCCTGGTCTGTGGGCGTGTGACACTATGAGGTGGTTTGGATTTTCTGCTCTGACTGTTTAAACTGTTTGTGTGTTGAAAGAACAATTCATTGTTGTGTGTGGCTCAGCTGTGTGACAGGGTAAGACCAGTTAGAACCAAAAGTCTCTCTAACTTGAACTGAAGCCAAGTGACTCCTGTCTCTGCTGTGCTAGGGCTCAGCTCATTCATGTTACATTTTTACGTGTTTCAAACTTTTGAAACCTTAGAAGTTTCAGCTATTTTTGAAGGTTTTGGTTTTGCCACACAGTTTATATTGCAGGCAATTTTTATTTCAAAGAGCATTTTGATCTGCTTTATAGCCCAGTTTTCTAATAAAACTTAGATGTGGGTGATTTTGTTACCAATCAGTTGTTCATATTTATTTTTCTCTCATGCTCTTTTACAACATGGCAGGAAGTATTTTTTTTCCTTTTTAATAGTTGGTGAGAAACAATTAAAAGCTGACAGGTTGTCCTCTGTTCTCTCCTCTGCAGTGGTGGAAGGTTTAGATACCCAAATCTGAGAGTAGACTCTGTGATGTTGAATTAGACTCCTGAAATGACTGATAAATCCCAGATAAATGGGGAAAATCTGTGTCCTGGAGTACATGTCACAGCCACCACCTTGCAAAACAGAGGGTGCTGCGTTTGAGACTCCAGTGTGAAATTGCTTTGCAGAAGCCTCTAACTGTAGACTTAAACCCATGGAGTTCAAGAAGACATTGATATAATTTAAGAGCTAACTGTCTTAGAAGTAAGAGAGTCTCCTCCTGTCTCTTCCACCTGCCTCCTCCTCCACCTGTTTCTTCTCCTTCCTTCTCTTGATTGCACACTTTTATCTTGCATCTTGCTTCTGTCTTCAGAAAACTAGAGAGTTCTCTGCCAGTCTAATGATCTTGGCCTCAAGAAGGTGCCTGACACGTGTCAAAAGACAGAGCAAGTAGGACAGTAGAACCAGGTGCCTTGGGCCAGGGAAAGTGAAACCTCCTCTTTTGGTCACAGCAAACTATTGGGTAATCTCAGTGCCTGTAAAGCTACACCATTGTGTGTTTTTGTAGGTAAAGAGCAGGTTTTCCCTTGCCTCTCGCACTGTACTACTTTTGCTAGGCCATTCATTCGGAAAGCGGAATGTTAGTCTTGAGACATTGTACAGCTGAAGATGGTTTGTATCTGTGGGTACTCCTTACAAGAGTGCTTTGTGGCTATATGGCTCCTGCACTCCAGTTTCCATAACAACCCATTCAAAAGTAAGGTAGGCAGTGCTCTAACTCATCCTGCTGCTTCCTCTTCCTTCTTTGTTTCTGTCTCTGATGGCTAGGAGGCTTTTTAAAGGTAGGTGTGATTTCAAGCCTTGTCAGGCTCAAAGAGGACAAGTAACATGTTTCTCACCTCTAGCGTTCAAATTGGTGAAGTGAGGTTGAGTCAATCACTTGGGCTATGCTCCTGCAAAGTACAGTGCAGTACTGTAGTCATATCTAATTAGGAAAGGAGAGGTGGCACAGTTATGATCATGTCATCTTCTCTTTGCCATGTTTGGCCTGCATATAAACCAATAATTGCACTCAGTCTCTAAAAAGAGCTGTTTAGTGCCTGTCTTGGAATGAACTAAAAGTACTGTTCACTTACTGATCTGCCTAAAATATTTGTTCTGCGTCCTTAAGGCAAGGTGAGCATCAATCATCTAGGCATTAATTCTGGAATATCCAAAGGAATGTCACATTTGGTTTCTCTTGGGTGGATTAAAAGCATCTTTCCATTAGAAATCGGCTCATATCCTCATCACTCCCACATGCTGTGTTTTGGGGTGCTGTGTGTAGCAACCTCTCAGTCTGTGAGCTGCATCTCTCTTAGATGAAGCTAAACACTCCAGGAGTGCAGCTAGTGCATTCCCAGGGCTAATGAGCTGCCAGTCCAAGGGAGAAGGTCAGGGATAGTCCAGAGTGAACTCCCAAAATGCTTATAGTGTAGACATGATTGCCATAACCAGCTGCTTTGCATAGTATTACTTGATAGGGTAGATGTAGCCTTCTGATCTTTGGAGAGGCATATTTTGTTCTCAGATGGAACCATTCGAATGACTGTTTATCCCTGTACATAATGGTCTAGAACAAGGTTACCAATTGTGCCAGATTCAGTACATTGCCACTCAGTGGTAATTCCCTGTGTGGGCTGATACTCGTGCTGTGGAGTTCTGCTCATTGCCAGCTTCATGCAGGAAGTCTGAACTCTGCTCTTTGAAAGAGCACACCATACTATAGAGAATACAGCTGACCAGAATTGCTTATTTACAAAGGTTAGCAATTACAAGACATATGTCACCAGATATGATTTCTCCCTCTGGGGAAAACGTAAGGGTCTTGTATCTCACTATATAAATAAAGCACATAACCTTGCCCATATGTGGAAAGGGGAATTCTTGTTGTCAGGCACCAGGTCAGAGTGGCCAAGGGTACATAGCAGTCTAGCTCACTACCTTCTGCTTTGGTTCTAGTTATGTGCAGCCACTTGAGAGTTACATGTTTCTTGTGTGAGAAATAACTCTCTGTGGGACTCTTTGCTAGGAACTGCAATGATAGGACAAGGGGTAATGGGTTCAAATTGAAGGATGGAAAGTCTAGGTTGGATGTGAGAAAAAAGTTTTTTCCTGTGAGGATGGTGAGACACTGGCACAGGCTGCCCCAACCCTGGCGGTGTTCAAGGCCAGGCTGGATGAATCCTTAGGCAACCTGATCTAGTGAGGAGGTGTCCCTGCCCAGGGCAGGGGTTGGCACTGGATGATCTGTGAAGTCCATTCCAACCCCTAAATTCTCTGATTCTGTGATTATTTGGAACATGATTATCTGGTCACAGGGATTTCAGTATGGATTCTTTCCCAGTTGTTGTTTGTATTTCGATTGATTATACAAGTCCAGCTTAGGGTCTGTGATTGAAGCCACGTCTTACCCAGTTTATATAGAGCTCTTAGTAATGCAAAGCCTGGGGACCAAGTTTTGCCTTCTCTTATACAACCTTTGTTGGCATTCTCTGAAGAATGCAGCATACACACTGAAATATCACTCATTTACTATCTTTGCCTCATACAGTGGAGTTCACTTTGTTTAAGGTACTTTACTCGTGGTAATTTATTTAGCACTATAAAAGTCGTTGCCCAGAGGGTAATGCTGTGCACGCCGGGCCCTGGGCTGATGCAGACTGCAGTGCCCATTAGATGGCAGCACGGTATAAACAGAAGAGAGGAATGTAGCCTGGCACTGGATTCCTCAGGGGTTTGGACGTGTTGTCAACCTCACTGGTTTTGGACTTATATTCTTTTTAATTAATTTTATTTTAACAATAAAAATCAAGTCTATCCGTTTGTTTTTGAAAGGATCCTGTGCCAATTTTTTTGAAAGGATTTGTTCGTGTTATTGGTTTACCAGTATCTTTGCCATGTTATGAAAGAAATATTCTAACAATGTCATCTTGTTTTCTAGAAAATTTGTTTGCCTAAATGACAATATTGATCACAATCATAAGGATGCTCAAACAGTGAAAGCAGTGCTTAGGGATTTTTATGAATCCATGTTTCCCATACCTTCCCAGTTTGAACTGCCAAGAGAGTATCGGAATCGTTTCCTTCACATGCATGAGCTCCAAGAATGGTAAGTTACACAAGTTCTCCCCAAGTTATTGTAGTGCAGTAGCATATAACTATGGAAGATAGTTATGGAAGATAATTATATGCCCTCAGCCACACCTGGAGTGTTGTGTCCAGTTCTGGGCTCCTCAGGACCAGAGGGACATGGAGCTCCTGGAGCAGGTCCAGGGGAGGTGAAGGAGGATGCTGAAGGGACTGGAGCACCTCAGTGATGAGGAAAGGCTGAGGGAGTTGGGTCTTTTAAGTCTCCAGAAGAGACAGTTGAGAGGGAACTCAGTAATGGAATCAAGTCCATGCATGGGAAGTGCCAAAAGGATGGATAAGGCTCTGTTCAGTGTGGGAAACCAATAAAGCAAGAGGCAATGATCAAAAACTGATGCCCAGGAAGTTCCACCAGAACATGAAGAACTTCTTTCCTGTGCAGTCACTGAGCACTGAATAGGTTGTCCAGAGAGGTCCTGGATTTTCCCTCCCTGGAGGTATTCCAGAGCCATCTGGACACAACCTTGAGCCATGTGCTGTGGGATGGCCCTGCTGGAGTAGGGAGGTGGGACCAGATGACCCACTGTGGTCCCTTCCAGCCTCAGTGATTCTGTAAAGATATTGAGACAAGCCATTTTCCCCTCAGTGTTGTCATGAAGGACTTAACAGTGAAAATAAAGGGAAAAGATTTAAATGGACTAAAATTTGAGGCCTGCAGGATTTGGGTTTCTCTGGTGCTTAAATAGCCATTGGCATTTTATTGATTGACACTAACCTACTGCAAAGAAAATGTGCTGCTTTGTTTAGTTGGTTTTTAAGTAAATCTGGACTTTGGGCGTTCTTTAAAGGTAAACAAAACTAAACCATTGTTACATTTCTCACTAAGTGATTTGTTTAAAACCTGTCAGATTTATCATCTGGATAATAATCAGGAAGGATACCTGTGTGTTTCACTTCTACAACCTGGAGAAGAAGAGGCTCAGGGGAGATCTTCTCACCCTCTACAGCTCCCTGAAAGGAGGTTGTAGTCAGGTGGGGGTTGGTCTCTTCTCCCAGGCAACCAGCAGGAGGACAAGAGGGCACAGACTCAAGCTCTGCCAAGGGGAGATTTAGGTGGGATATTAGGAAGAGATTTTTTACAGAGAGAGTGATCAGGCATTGGAATGGGCTGCCCAGGGAGGTGGTGGATTCACCATTCCTGGAGGTTTTCAAGCTGAGACTGGATGTGGCACTTAGTGCCATGGTCTCGTAACCACAGTAGGGTTGGCCTTGATGATCTTGGAGGTCTTTTCCAACCTGGTTGATTCTATGATTCTGTGACATTTTTGTGCCCATTTACCTCTTGCCATTTTATAAATAGCAACTTTAGAAGTTGCGGTAGCTGACTTGAGAATACAAGCAAAAGGTTGGCAGGAACACTGACAAAAATAAGCAAGACTTTGTGCAACTACAAAGCTCTTTGTAGCCAAAGAAGATTTCTACCAGGGTGGGTTAAAATATGCTGAAGTGCTGGTGGAAATCAAAATGTTTCCAGAATCAGGACAGCCCAGATGGGAAGGGACCTCAAAAAATTGTTTGGTCCAACATTTCCTGGGACAGAGTGCCTAGATGAGATGCTCTCCTGCCAGTTCTCAAGTGTCCTGACTACAGGAATTGCAGTCTGGTAAAAAGGGGCATATTTGGTGTGACACACGCCTTCCTGGCTTGTGACTGCAAAACCAGAGTTGTCACTTATAGATGTGGCACTTGGGGCATGGTTTAGTGGTGGACTTGGCAGTGTTAGCTTAATGTTTGGACTTGCTTAGAGATCTTTTCCAGCCTAAATGATTCTATGATCTAGCAACCTGACTAGTCCCACCTTGAAAACTTCCCGTGGTGCTGGCTCCACCTGGGGAGGCTGCTCCAGTGAAGGATTTTTTCACCGTAAAAAATTGACTTATATCAAGATGAAACCTCTCCCAGTCCAGCTTGTACCTGTGGCTTTGTGTCTGTAAAGACAGAACCTCCGTCCTCTTTTTAGTCATCCTTTGAAAATTTTCTTTGCATGTTTCATGGACGATCTCTGAAGTTTCAATATTGCATTTCTAGCTGGTTTTCCTTCTTTCTTTGTGCAGGAGAGCATACAGAGACAAGCTCAAATTCTGGACCCACTGTGTTCTAGTAACACTCATTGTATTTACAGTCATCTCATTTTTTGCTGAACAGGTAAAGTTAATGTCTTCTTATCCAATCTATATAACAACAGGTTGAGGAATCTTCAGGATAACATTACATGGGGTTTTTAACCGATTTTGAAGAGTAGCTAGGATTTTCCCTTTGGAAAAGATTTAGAGATGTTACATGACTAATGATTAGGTTGCTTCAATTTTTAATTCATCATGTTGAGATTCCTTGAAGAGTCGTATGGGGGGAAGGAGATTGGTATTCCCTTCTCAAGTGCTTTGGGACTGTCAGGTCCCTCACATTGTGCTCAAAATCAGGAATTGGTTTGGAAATTCTTGGTCTATGAACATACGTATTGGTCAAAGTGCAAAGTGAGCTAAAAGGAAGGAAACTTAAGTAATAGCAATACTGTAGTCCTGACAAGAATCTAAAGGTATTTAGAGACCTTAGCCTTGGTCATTGCCAAGACTCTGATTGAATTCAAAAAGCTTTGAATCTGACTCAAAGGATGAAAACCTCCACTTCTACAAGCTTAAAATGGCTTTCTTGAACATGATTAGTCCTGCTAAACTCCAAGGGAGTCAATGGAACAAATCATACAGGTAATTCTTCGCAGGTTGGGGCCCTAAGTAACACTTTCCGTGGGGTGATGAAGAGGGTATAAGGCTTGAAAGGTTGGCTTTTGATTATTGTGGTTTTTTCCCACCTATAACTTTTGCATGACACTTTCCCTTGATTTTCAGCCTTTTGTATGCATTGGGAAACTCCATTAGTGATTTGGTTTTGGAAGGGGATTCCTCAGTGGTACAGTCAGGAATATAAACACTGTTCTAAAATGCCAACTTAGTGTTGATCTTCTAGAAATGGAATGTAGCCCAGTGTTAATTTCAATACATGAATTTCCTTGCAAAGAATCAGAATATAGACATACTGTATTTTTCAGTCTCTGTTTGTATTCTGATCAGTGAGAAGTCCAGGGGAAATGTGCACTCCTAATAGGTGAATTTGAGCAGACGGTGTCTTTCCTGTGCACTGAAAATAAATATGAGTAGAGTATTGACTGAATTCCTGTGGATGGTACAGATTTTGTAGTTTCTAGGGCTAAAACCTCACCAGCTGTGGACCTTTAGCCCAGCAGAGAATTTACAGGTTGTGTTTCTTCTCTCCTCAGCTAATAGCACTTAAACGAAAGATTTTTCCAAGGAGAAGGATCCAAAAAGAAGTCGGTCACGAACGGATCAAAGTGTAGAAGAGGTTTATTTTGGAGATCAGTCTACCTCAAGATGTGATTAAACATTTTAAGTCTCTCTTTTATGAGTGTCTTTTCTGGTTTGACATTTAACTACGTTGATATGAAGAAAAGCAATCATGCACCTACAGCTAGAATCTCTGCAGTACTCTCCAGGATAACAAAGCTGCTGGAGCTGTGGCAATGCAAAACAACAGCAAAAAATCATTGCAGGAAACCTGTACAGAGGCAGTTTTCAACAGCTCTTACTTCACAACTCGTAGTTCATGGCCATGTTCTCCTTTTTTATAAAAAGGGTTACCTAAACCAATATAACTGCATTTATTGCAGTGGATGTTGCCAGCTAGATAAAACGTTGGAAGGGGAAGTTGTGGGGGATCAGCTTCACAAATGATCTTGCATTCCAAAGCATTTTGCAAATTTCTGTCATTGCTGCTTTTTTTTTTTTTAGCCCCACAGGAAAATGGAGACTTGTCATTTAAATTGAGTACAGATTTACAGATGTTGCACAGCGGACGATTCTCATCCCTGTGTGTAGTGTTTGGTTGGGATTTGGAAAAAGTGTAAGCTAATAAGAACATTACACAGGAACAGAACATCTAATGGGTTTTTTGAAAGGTGTTTTAGATCTGGTGTGTTACATTGCAGGGAATCCAGAGGTGTTGTTTGATCACAAAGAGAGGGTTGGAAATCAAGTGAAAATGATAAGGGTAGAATATTTTACAAGCACTGTAAATATGAGTGCAGAAGTGCCTCTCTACGAATGTGTAACAAGCTGTTTGAGGGCAGAAAAGTGTGGGGGCAGTGATTCTCTTGGCAAGCAGTATTTGTGCTGACACATGAAGCTCTGGTGGTTTAAAACAAGGGTTTGGCCTTGAACTTTGCCAAGACATCAGGAGAGTGTGGGTGTATGTGGGAAAGGGTACTGAGTCTCTTCAAGCAGAAGTTTTGGTGGTGCATCTTCACTTATTTGTGTTAGCAGTGTTCCAAAAAGCATTAATTTTTGTAATCAGGTGATGTACAAAATGTATGTGCACATGTATCGTAAGATACTTGGTTTGCTCTGAGATGAACTAAAAACTTGGTCAAAGTTTTGTCTGTTCTTTCTGTTTTCAAGTAAACCAAAACCTGCCTGTTTTGATAAGTTATCCACTAATGTGTAGGAATCCTTATGTTGAAAGTTCTTATTTTTCTCTTAAAAAGCTTCTAAGTGTAAGAATTTGATATTAATTTGAGGCATGAATTTGTTCTCAGGTAGAATCAAACTTTGGAGTGCTGTAAAAATGCAAACACTTTTATTGAGGTTAGATCCATGTAATATGTGGTTAAAAATACATATATATTCACAGCTATGGACAAATAAGTAAAAACAAAACAAAACAGAGATAGGCAAGTCAGGTGTGTGACAGCTGTTAATGCTGAGGGACTCTGCAGTCCTGGAAATTCATAATATCTTTACTGGAGTTTGCAATTTCAGTGATGTTTGACTTGGATATTTGGTTTATTTTATAAACCAAAATCTGTATTTGGTTTTCACCAGTAAAAAACACCATAACTCGCTGAGGGCAGACACTGAGAACAGTAGAAAAATCTGAACCATAAACCAAACTGTTTGTAAAATTCACCTCACAGATCAGTGCCTGTTTGCATTGATTTAAGGACAATCCTCCTATGTTATCACACCTAACCTACATACACCAGCATAGCCTGCTCTGCAGGCTTTTTCTTCTCTGGAAGATAAATTATAACCATTTTTATTGAACAAGAAAAGAGCAAAACCGGATCAAGGTTGGCGAGGGTTGAAGGGGTTTAGTGCCGCCCTATGGCGGCAGGTCCCGCCC